AAAACCACGCAACACTACCTTGCTTGGGGACTCTCAAAAACACTCCAAAATGTGAAAGAGGGGAACCAGGAGTAAAGCAAACCCACCCTGTACTCTTTTGCCCTTGGTGTACTTACCATACCTTTATATTAGCCAGTTCCAAATTCAAACAGCAGAGACTATGCTAACATGAAGCTGCTAAAACTAAATATGCTGCATAATTTTTTACTGGGAAATATATTTATTTGCCCCATTAATTATAATATTCTCTCTGTACTCAAACACTTATTAGTATTATTAATATATATTGAGGCAAGAACTCATTAAAAATTCACATCAAGAATATTAAAAATCTTTAGAAAAAATAGAAAAGTTATGCACCAGGAAAAGAAAAAGGTTATGCACTAGGATCCATTCTAAAGGCTTTATGTTCAACTCCTCACTTAGTCTTCACAGTAACCCTACAAAGTAGGTGCTATTATTACCCCTTTTACAGATGAAGAAAATTGAGACTTAATCAGATCAAGTAATTTTCATTATTCAAGGTCACACATTTAGGATGCGAAGCCTATTTGCTCCAGAGCCCAAACTTTTAACCAATACAAAACTATACAACTACTGTTACATGGACAATCCTACACTTACCGTTTTTCCTGTTTCTGCTGTATGCTTACACAAACAGAGAAAAAGCACACTGAAGTGTTAACAGTGGTTATCCCTTGAGTGGAAAAACAGGTCTACTCTCCAAATACAGTATAAGCCTACTATAGTACATACAGTATTACTTTCGATTATTTAAAAAAAGCAAACAAGAGAAATAGTATTTAGATGTTTACTCCTGGAAAAGAAAGGTGGAGGCCAGGCATGGTGGTTCACATGTGTAATCCCAGCACCTGAGGAGACTGAGGTGGGCAGACTCCTTGCATCCAGGAATATGAGACCAGCCTGGGCAACATGGCAAAACCCCATCTCTACAAAAAATACAAAAATTAGCTGGGCCATGGTGGCACGCACTTATAGTCCTGGCTGACTACAGGCACACCTGAGGTGGGAGGATCACTGGAGCCCAGGAGGTTGAGGCTGCAGTGAGCTGTAATCATGCCACTGTACTCCAAGCTGGACAACAGAGTGAGACCCTGTTACAAAAAAAAGAAAAAAAAGAAAAGTGAACTAGTGGAATTAACATTTAATGAGTAACTATGATGGGCCAAACACATGGGTATCTCATCTAAACCTTATATCAAAAAATTTTATTCCCATTTTCAGTTAAAGAAACCAGATTAAGTAACTTGCCCAGCAGAAGGACTGGGATCAGAACTCAAAGCCCAGTCCAAAGTTGTCACTGCTGCTACAAATAAAATTTCACCAAAACAAATCACGGTCGGGGGCAGTGGCTCCTGCTTATAATCCCAGCACTTTGGGAGGCCGAGGCAGGTAGATCATGAGGCCAGGAGTTCGAGACCAGCCTGGCCAACATGGCAAAACCCCGTCTCTACTAAAACTACAAAAATTAGCCGGGTATGGTGGCAGATGCCTGTAATCCCAGCTACTCCGGAGGCTGAGGCACGAGAATTGAACCCAGGAGGTAGATGTTGCAGTGAGCCGAGATCGTGCCACTGCACTCCAGCCTGGGTGACAAGAGCAAAGTTGCGCCTCAAAATTTTAAAAAAAATCACATTCTGTGAAAGGATGAGAACCAAGTAGTCTGTCACCTTACGTGCATGGAGGGAAAAGTGGAAGGCTTAAGGTTTTAAATTGAGTATCTCCCCAGTATCTCAAACTAGCCAGGAGTCAAAAATCAGCCTTTTCAGTCAGGACCTCTGGGACAAACTCTTGCTTTAAAGAGTAAGGAGACTCTATTGCTGTTTGTTTTGCCGAGCACAGAACTACATGTGTATGTTAAAACTGACTTAACACTGGGGACAATTTGCTGCCTCCAATCCAGTTTCACCTATTCAGCTACTGTTTTACCAGTTACCAAGTGTGGGGGAGGGGGGAAAAGAAGAGTCTGAGAATACTGCCCTACCTGTATTCAAATATAAGTGACCTTTCATTAGCCATAACCATAGTACCAAACCTAGATAGTAAGAACTGGTAACCCTTGGAGAACATCTCAGGTAGAATAAATAGTTCAGCATTTTTCTTGAAATGACATTAATTTTGGGTGCTCTCAGAAATGTTTAATTCCTCCTAAACTAAAATTTTCCTTTCTCTAAAAACAGCAGCAACATGATTTGCTGAGAAAAGGTTGGAATGGAGTATACAAATTTCCTTCTAAAAATCTTCCAGAGGAAAGAAAACTTATTTCAGACTTGTAATTATACTAAACATTTCCTTTTTAACTAACATCTAATAGTAAAAAAAAAAAAAAAAAAGCATATTCCCTTAGTAATTTGACGTTAATTCAGTATTTTCCCTGAAAATCTTTTATTAGTTTCAAATGGAATGTAACTTTTAAAAGCATCAAAGCTGTCATTACTCCAGGAAGTAGCCCATTCGGTGATTAGGTTAGGAGATTTATGTATGTTTGAGATAGGGTGGGAAAAAGTACAAAACTTTTTCGGTATTTGTACATACACTTTTGGAAAGCTTAGGAATGTGAAGTCAACAATATACCTTTAAAATACCAAATTATAAGGCAATAACAATTTTTTTTCAAACTTTAAAAGTCTAAGAAAAAAGACTAAGAATGACTTTTTTCCATCCAGTATGCTCTAAAAATAAGAACAAACTATAATGGTACGCGTTTATGAAAATGTCCAAGTCAATAAGCAATTTCAATTAATCAATAAAGTTAAAACAACCACTAAATGTAATTTGCATTTTTGTATCAGATCCATACAATCTCAAATATCAAGACTTTCTTAAGCTCAATACTGAATGCCCGGATATCTATCATTGTGAAGAAACAGTTTGATCTTAGGCAGACCAAAGGAAAAGAAAGGCATATACCTAGAAGAATCACTTGAGTCTGACTTAGAAGCCTCACAGAAGTCAGCACTGAAAGTCGTAGGTTACCCATTGCCCTGCAAGTGGCAGCTTTTCACTAACAGTGCTAGGGGCACTGAACGGGCAGAATGTGGGACATCTCCTGCCAGCAAACTCCAGCCTGCTACCAAGCAGGACACCGCACAGACACACAACATTCTGCCCTAACCTCACCGAAAAGAGAAGGAAAGAAACCAACAAATAAACGACGGAAAATAACCTCTCCAAACACGCCCACAGTGGGGGTTGGCAGTGGGGGCAGGGTCCATTAACATTTCAATTTCAACACTCAAGAACAACGACAAGGAGGTGAGAACAGCCACGGGAAACATCCTGTCCCTGAAAAGCGGGAAATCGAGTTTGGAAATTTGTGTTTATCACTCTTTTTTAGCGTTCAGAGCTCAGGGCACCAAAATATAGCTAAAATTGAATCCATTTAAACAGAAAACATAGGGGGGTGTGTGTGTTTGTGAATATATATGTGTGTATAAATACATATAAAATATATACATACACATATATATTTTATATTTTTTTCCGGTTTAAATGTTATACACACACACACACCCCAAAACCAAAGTGTAGTTTTCCAAGGGCTCTTCCACAGACCCTTCTGAGTTGTGGCAATAACAAGTTTAGGTTTCCTTAAAATCTCCATTATTTTATTTCTAGTATCGAATATAAGAATATCACATAAATCTAAATAGTGATTATCAGAATAAATGAACTACTGATCCTGAAACTGTAGACCTTGTTTCAGGAGCTGCCCTGCCCACTTCCTCTCCCTCCTCCCAATCCCGGAGGCTTCCAAGCCATCTGACAACCACTTCTCCCCTTTGGGATCTGTTCCGGTGTTGATTTTACCGGACAGTGACCAAAAGAGAGGGGAAAGTCCTACATCTGGGGACTGCTCCAGAAACCCCGCCTGGTCCTGCCCCTCTAACTGATAGTCTCCTCGCTGTTCCCTACATCTTCCTCTCCGCCGGAGCTGTCCAGAAGGGGGATTTTGGACCCAAAGGAGTCGGGATGAAAGGGGGTGGGTACTCAAGCTGAAAATAACACCCCCAGTTGGTGGGATAAGGGCTAAAAAAGGCAATACGGAAAGACAGTCCGGCAGAAACACCACCTGAGTTTACCTCCTCCTTCCTACCCCAAAAAGCCCAGTCACTAACTAATAAAGCTAAGAAAAGCCCCTCGCAAACTTTTCCAAACCGGAAGAGAAGGCCCTCTCCCCAACCTGCGGGGGCTAGAGGGGGAACGGGCTGGAGTTAGCAGCCCCGAAAGGGCTCGCGGGGAGTTGGGTGGGGCGCGTGCGAGGGGTGCAGGGGCGGAGTACCTTCTTCAATGGACAGGAACTGGCAAAGAGTTTCAAAATAGCCGAGTGCGCTCCCCCACGCCCTGGGGGTGTCCCAGGCGCTAGGACCAAGGCTCCCGGAGAGACAGCGGCCCCCAATTCGGGCCTAAAAGGAAACTTTCTGGGCCGCGGCTGCACCTGACTCCTCACCGCCCCTCCACCCGACCCCACGCCCGCCAGGCCGCCCGCTCCGCCCCGCCCCGGCCAGGCCGCCCGGAGCGCGGAGGAGGGGGGATAAATAAATTCAACTCTTACCGGAATCCGGGGGGCGTCTGCTAGAGACCCGAGGGAAGTGGGGTCGGGCGCCCATTCCCCAGTCCTAGGCCCTGACGCCCCTGTCCCGGCAGCTCGGGCCTGCAGCCCCGCGGGAAAGCCTCCGGGCCGGCGCGGGATTCGGCCCCGCAGCGCCGCCGTCCCACCGGAGGCCCTGGGGGACTTGAGGGGGCGAGCGGAGGCCTGGGGTGCAGGGGGCAGGGCGCGGCCGCTGTGGGGCCTACCGGCCCGAGGCCTACCGGCGCACCCCCTCCCTCCGCACACCCCCACCCAGCCCGCGCAGGCCGCGCCGCTCGCCCCGCTCCGGCTCAGGCTGCACCCCTGCCCACCCGCCGTCCCCGTCCGCGGGCGCCCCGGAGGCCCTCAGGCCCCCGGCCTCCACCACCCGGGCGCCGGCCCCACTCACCCTTTCATTCTCCGCCCGGGGCCTGGCGTGGGCCGGCGAATCCCCGGCCTCACGTAAGCGCGCTCGCCGCCCGCCCAGCCCGTGCGGCCCAGCCCGCCGCCGTACGGGAGCCCGGGGATGTGGGCCGGGCCTGGGGCCGCCTCTGCTTACCTTTCAGCTGCTTTTTTTTTTTCTCCTTCCCCCCTTTTCCCTCGGCTGGGCTGACAGATCAGAGTGAGAGGCGCTGGCAATAGACTAGGAAGCTCGGCTGCCGCTGCTACTGCTCCCCCCTGGGCTCCGGCGAGAGCCTTTCCCTGTCAAGCAAGAGGGGTGAGGATCATATTTTTATTTTGGAAACTAAAAAGTGCTCCCAGGGTCGGTGATTATTAAGGGGAAATCCCTGAATATACTCTCCAGCCAAGAAGGCAGGGCTGCCGGGGCTGTACAAGAAGAGGCAGCAGCCTCCTACAGCACCACTACAGGCACTGCGAGGACATAACACCAGAGAGCTGCTCCTCTGCCCTCCGAAACGACAACTTTCCTACCATCTTGGAGGCAGAGCAAAGGGGGGCCAGGGGGAAAAGTGCACCCGCTCCCGATAAAGTACAAATTTTTACTTCTCATCTCTGGAAAAAAGTCCACACCGGCCGTCTACACCGGCGCCTGGGGGAAAAAGCAAGGAAGAAACTAGGGGTGCATGAGAAACGTTTTCATTTGCTCCAGGGGGAAAAATGTTTCTGCATCTTCTGATGGAAAGAAATCTTTACAAGACACTGGTTTTCCGGTGATTATTATTTTCTGTTTTCTACTTTAAATTTTTTTTCGTTAGTGACAGTGATATTTTAATTTTTTTCAGGCCAATAATAATTTTTCTCCATTACAGGGCTAAGTTCTGTGGTTGGTGGTCAGTTGATAAATTTATACTTAAAGAGACTTAATACTGACTTCATTTATTTGTCTAGTTATGTTAATGAATATATAAATGTTTCATATATTACATATAAAAATTTGTGTTCTGTGTTTCTCTCAGATTGCTGTAAAACAATTATAAAAAAGATGTCTTTCGTCTCTTTCTCAAAGCAATGTAAATAAAACCTATGGACTGTCCAGCAAGTCATGATACAGTGTGTCATTTTCCACAGTGCAAATAAAGGCAGATATCACTGGGGATTTAAAAATAGCCCGTTTCTGGAAATTCTGTTATGATCTGCCCATGAAGAAAGATTACAGTAAAACTGAAAAGAGATTTTGAGGACAGCCTTAGATTTTAAGTAAATAGCTTATTAAGAATTATATCTAGGCATTTAATTTTTTAATTTATTTAGATTCTTTAAACTCTAGCTAGATCTTTGGTACATTACACAGGTTGCTGTCTGCTTCTTGTGTCACACAATTGAGAAATGTGGTTATTTTTGTTAGAGTTATGTTAGTTCAGAACTTCCAATGTGCTGCCAGCCTGTATGAGTGATTTTTTTGTATATTGCAGTGGATGTCGTGAATTTACTTTTTTAAATGAGCAAAGTTTAGTAGATAAATGGGATCAGAGTTAAACAATGCTGTTAGCACAGCGGTGAGAGGGAGGAAGCGTACTCACTTGTATCAGTTGCAAGAGAACTCTTACTGGAGGAGTTATTGGATTCCAGAGACATTTTTCTATTTTTGTGAAAATAAAAATAACAGAAAACGAACTATCTTTGTATGTTCTCCTGGGGATGATGATTTAAATCTTGTACTAAAAGTTATTTTTCTGACACGTTAGCTAACCTGGCAGGAATGAATTTGTTATATTAGTGTCCTGATTCCATAGAATATTTCTTTGTAAAGTTTATTATAAAGCATTTAGAAATAACTTCCAAATTTAGAAATTGTCCTAACTTAAAAGTGAGTTCATGTAAAGCATATATCAGATATTTATTAGTTTCTACCTGAACCCCACCTTTATCATATAACTTTGAATATAGTACTTACCTATTGTGGATTTTCTTTTGTGGTTTTTTTCCCTCTCTGTTTGGTGGAAAAAGTTATGTAAAGTAAAATTAACTGATTCTTATCATCTTGGAAACCTCAGTTGTGAAGTTATATTCTATTTACAATACTTTTTTTTAGACATTGGACATCAAACACATTAGTTATCACAAGGAAATTACTTCCCTTAACTAGACCTCTACTGGAATTGAAAAACATGTTTTCTAACAACTTACTTTTCTTTATATATGACATGACTTTATGGATATGTTTTGAATTTTTCAAGAAATGAAAATGTGTTTGGCCAGATCCCATGGCTCATGCCTGTAATCCCAGCAATTTGGAAGCCTAGGTGAGAGTATTGTTTCAGCCCAGGAGTTCGAGACCAACCTAGGCAACATAGCAGACCCTGTCTCTAAAAATAAAAATAAAATAAAATAAAATGTACTTGTTTGCATTAAGCTGGCTGCACCCTTTTTTGCAATGCCCCCTGTGACCAAAGAAACTTGTTTGCATGGTATCTGTCACTGGATAGGGCTATGCTGCATCAGTTTAGTATTTCAGTGCTTTTCTCTCTTTTTTTTTTTTTCTTTTTTTTTTCAGATGGAGTTTCGCTGTTGTTACCCAGACTGGAGTGCAATGGCACGATCTCGGCTCACCGCAACCTCCGCCTCCTGGGTTCAAGCAATTCTCCTGCCCCAGCCTCCCGAGTAGCTGGGATTACAGGCACGCGCCACCATGCCCAGCTAATTTTTGTATTTTTAGTAGAGACGGGGTTTCACCATGTTGACCAGGATGGTCTCAATCTCTTGACCTCGTGATCCACCCGCCTCGGCCTCCCAAAGCCCTGGGATTATAGGCATGAGCCACCGCGCCCAGCCTGCTTTTCTCTGTATAAAGTTTGACTTGTGCAGGCCTGTAATCTATGATGTTTATCCATCAACTTGGATGGGTAGGTCTATCCATAGACCTATAATCTATGATGTTTATCCATCTTGAGCAAAATATTCAAGACTTAAGGCTGGACATGGTGGCTGTAATCCCAGCACTTTGGGATGCCCAGGCAGGTGGATCACCTGAGGTCAGGGGTTCGAGACCAACGTGGCCAACATAATGAAACCCTGTCTCTACTAAAAAATACAAAAAGTAGCTGGCCATGGTGGCGGGTGCCTGTAATCCCCACTACTCAGGAGGCTAAAGCAGGAAAATCACTTGAACTAGGAGGCAGATTGCAGTGAACCAAGATTGAGCCATTATACTCTAGCCTGGGTGACAAAAGTGAAATTCCATCTCAAAAAAAAAAAAACAAAAACAAGACTTGGAGGATTACAGCTTAGTCAAGAAGGAAATCTCACTAAATTTGTGATATTGATGAGGGTTTATTTCAGTTGAACTCCGTCTCAAAAAAAGTGCTGTGTCTGATTTGTATAATCTGCAACTACTAACAAAACTGATATAATTTTATTTTTTATTAATTTTTTTTTTTTTGAGACAGAATCTCGTTCTGTTGTCCAAGCTGGAGTGCAGAGGCACGATCTCAGCTCACTGCCACCTTCACCTCCCGGATTCAAGCAATTCTCTTGTCTCATTCTCTGGAGTAGCTAGGATTACAGGCACGGGTCACCACGCCCTGCTAATTTTTGTATTTTTAGTAGAGATATGGTTTTGCCATGTTGGCCAGGCTGGTCTTGAACTGCTGACTTGGTGAGTCATCCATCTGGGCCTCTCAAAGTGCTGAGATTACAGGTGTGAGCCACCGAGCCTGACCTAAAACTACTGATACAATTTGAGGAAGCTTATTTTTTTCCCAATAAAATTTCCACTACTCAAATTTGGCTACATTATTGAGCACTTAATGCATCTTGATAACCTTGCTGGATACTTTTATCTATGTTTTCTCATTTAATTCCTTTAGCTCCAAAAGTATTACATTTTTCTTTTCTCAAAAAAAAAAAAAAATACAGATGGGATAATTGTCTTTCCTGTCAAGGATCATGTACCACCTTGGCCCAAAAGCTCTCCAATAAGATTCTCAATTCTCCTCTGTTTAGAGTGTCCAAGGTGCCTCTCACAATTCTGTACACTATGCCTGAAGTGCTAGGTTCCTGCTCTATGCTGTTTGCCAAAAACAAACTTTGAGTAGCCAGCTGTTGGAGCCCCCTTCATTCATTGGTGGCACCTACTGGCTTATTTCACCTTTGTGAAGTCTAGCACCTAAATCTCAGTTGTTTTGAGGAATGCAAATAAATAAGTAACAAATGCATTATGATTAAGACTTTGTTCCCGATCCTGAAAATGAGCAGTATATGGTATAAAGCACAAGCTTATTTATTCTATTATGCCTTAATTTCCCAAATAGCTGTTTGGCCTTTAGTTAAAGTAGGAAATGCTGACCTTAATTTTTTTTTTTTTTGAGACAGAGTCTTACTCTGCCCAGGCTGGAATGCAGTGGTGCAATCTCGACTCACTACAACCTCCGCCTCCCAGGAACAAGCTATTCTCCTGCCTCAGCCTCCCAAAGTGCTGGGATTACAGGTGCCCACCACCACACCCAGCTAAGTTTTGTATTTTTAATAGAGACAGGGTTTCACCATGTTGGCCAGGCTGGTCTCAAACTCCTGATCTCAGGTGATCCTCCCACCTCAGCCACCCAAAGTGCTGGGATTACAGGCATGAGCCACCGCACCTGGCCAATATATTAAAAAAAAAAAAATTTATTAGGCCAGGCGCGGTGGCTCAAGCCTATAATTCCAGGGATTATAGGAGGCTTGGGAGCCTTTGGGAGGCCGAGGCAGGTAGATCACGAGGTCAAGAGATCAAGACCCTCCTGGTCAACAACGTGAAACCCCGTCTCTACTAAAAATACAAAAATTAGCCGGGCATGATGGTGTGTGCCTGTAATCCCAGCTACTCAGGAGGCTGAGACAGGAGAATTGTCTGAACCCAGGAGGCAGAGGTTGCGGTGAGCCGAGATCATGCCATTGCACTCCAGTCTGGGTAACAACAGCGAAACTCCGTCTCAAAATAAATAAATAAATAAATAAAATAAAAAATAACCCCGAGGGAGGTGAGGGAGTAGAAATGGGGTATGCACATTGCCTGAAAGTTTTCAAAGTCACACTATTATGGCCATAGACACGAATTCTTTTCACTTTAAAGCATTTCTGTTTTGGAAACATTTGTCGGTAATGTTTCTACCTTAAACAAAGATTTTGGTTTTATTGTGGTTACAAGAAAGTGTTTCTGAGATAAACACTATATTTGGCAGGCATACACATCATAGTTTTAGATTGACTATGAAATTTCTGTAATAAAGATTCAAGGCTGGGTGTGGTGGCTCACACCTGTAATCCCAAAACTTAAGGAGGCTGAGGAAGGAGGATCACTTGAGCCCAGGAGTTGGAGGCTGCAATGAGCTCTGATTGCACTACTGCCCTCCAGCCTGGGCAACAAAGTGAG